TACTGTGTATCTGCTGTTACTAGCTTCAAAGATGTAAAATGTCACTGTAATTGGCAAATGTAGGTTTACTTTCCTGTAAGTGAAATTAGAATCAGATCATTTATTTCAGACTAACCTGTGAAAGCATGAGCAAACCCAACAATTAGTAACCACAAGCAGTTACCTTTTATCTTTCCTTATTCAGTTAGAGGTTAAATTGGAGTAAAGTAGCATTTATTTAAAAATAAAGACAACCACAATTCTAAAATGTTTTCCATTTCACTGGCTTTACTTACCACTGGCTGTACAAATTTCTTACTGATGCAAATTTTTTCCAATTGGGATATCCTAGTCAGATTTGCACTGATGAAAACTAGAAAAAAAAATAAATTAAAATGGTTTTCAATATAGAATATTGAAAATAATTATTATAGTAATATTGTATTAAAAATACATTAAAAATAGTTGCTAAATATACTAAAAGTAGATGTAACTGTTTGTCTATGCTCTGCCATGCTTTTGGATATTTTCTTGATTGAAGGTATATTTTTTATGGTTAAATTTTCCAATTAATTGTTGATGATGATCTGAAAATGCATTCACTGAAGCTCAAATTCTTATGAATGTATTATATGACATTTAAACTAAAAAGGCAAGAAATCAATTCAGTTGTTTGTGTTGCAATTGACTGAATAGTAATTGAGACACAGAATATTGAAAGGTCACAATGAGAAACATTTCCAGAAAAATTCTTTGCAAACCATTTTCACGGGCTCTTAATTAAAATTTAACACATAATTGAATTATGCCTTTTGTTTCATGCTTAATAATTTACAAGATCTGTTAATATCTTTGCATATATGTTAAAATTATTGTATCTTTTATATTTAACACTGCTTTTAAAAATGTAAATCAGTTCTCAAATGACAGTGAGTGGAGAAGGCACAGCTTACAATCAATGAAGGAATGGTCTCTATCAGGTATTTGAATATGACTGGGATGAAGGCCAATGTTTTGGTAAGAAAGGAAAGAAGGAAGAACAAAAGAAAGAGAGAGGGAGAGGGAGAGAGAGCTATTTCATTTGTTTCCAGTGGTAGGCAATTGTGTGTACTGGCGAGTTCCCCCGTAATTCAGTTGAGAGCCCACAAGGGTGCCCAGGAAGGGCACCTTCTGATGGCACCTCCATCAATTTGAAGTGCAAGGTCTTGCACTACAGGCCCTAGTTATCTGCAGCCCTGAACACCAAGGGATGCTGCCGGTCTGATTCACCTGCAGGAGCTCACGGTTTTGGTAGGACACCAGGTGTCCCTTTGCAGGGAAATGGAGGCTGACCAAGTCCCGGTTTGCTCTGGTCCTTAGGCTCACAGGACAGTCATTTTCTCAAAGAGGATGATAGTACTACTGAAAGGATGGAAAGGTGGGAAGAGGAAAGATAAATAGAGAATGTAATAGAAACAGAACATGTGCTTTGAATGCATAATAAAAAGCATTTATATGAGGTGAAATTCAAGCTTGTGAAAGTGAAAGACAGATGCTGTACTTGCTTTCTCTAAGGGACTGAATTTTACCTAAAGAGCTTTGTTTTTTCCAAAATTAAAAAACAAACAAACAAACAAAAAAAACACTACATGAATGTTGACACCTCGAAACCTACGGTTGCTGCAATTAAAAATCTGATGGTTCCTCCCTATATGGCAAACAGCTTGGTTTCTTTTCGAAATCAACACTTGTTGACTCATTTCCTTTTATTGGTGGTTATATATCATTGTTTTGTTCTTCAACGGCCCTTGCCTAGTACTTTTTATGAAATTTTCTCCAATAAAGCACTTCAACACTGTTTGGTGTTCCTCCTTGTAAAAATAAAGTATAAAACATAGTATATTAAAATATCAATAACTTGTTTTCACACTTTTTAAAAATGTCACTGTTGAGGATAAAAGCAGGCACTGACATGAAAGTAATGGGCTAAAAGGGAAAAAGATTACACAATTGCAGCTTATGCCAAAAGAAGACTTATTTTACTATGCTTATGGAGAAAAATGTTCATGTTGACTCAGTAATTTCTTTGTAAGAATTTGGAAAATCTTTCCACCTTTCTCTGTCACCTTAGTCTAAACATTCCAACTTTTCCAGCCTTTCATTCCTCCCAGGTACATACTCACCTCTGATCTTTTCTTTATATATTTCTCCATTTTGCCATACTACTTACCTGAGATCTTGTGCTAGAGTCACTATTCTATCTAGTATTTCATAAATCATTATACAAATTCAAAGGATCTTTTTTCTTATGCTCTTAAATGGGGCCATCTTTTTCCATGGGTTGGCAAGACTCATCAGTCACAACAGTCACGATACCCAGCTGTATTTCACCTCCTCCTTTCTGTCACACCATTTTGTTCAGAAAAGAAAAAAGGAATAGTGAGACAGTCCGTAACCCTACCATAGCAGACAGAGGAAGTTCTCCCTTGTTTCCCTGCTCCTACATTGTGCAACTCATTTTTCTAAGCCAAACACACTCTTTGGTTCTGTTTCCTTTTACAGGCATTACTATATGTCTCTATAAACCCATAATTTCACATTTACAACCCAATGGTCATTGTGTGACAAACTTTTCCTTAACAAAAAAAAAAAAAAAAAAAAAAAAAAAAAGAGTGAAAGCAAATATAAGGTTTTAATCTATAAAGGGAAGAGACTGATAAAAAAAGATAATTAATTTTAAACACATAAGAGGCAGTTGCAAAGAGAAGCTCTTTTTCTTTATTGTAGTGAAAAAGACAAGAAATATTATGTTTAACTTTGCATCAATGGAGCTTAGAAATACCCTTTTTATAGTCATGGTAGTGAGGCATTGGAATAAATTGCCTTTCAAAAGCATGGAGACCCCAGAAAAAAGACTTGTAAATGGAGACTCCAGAAAAGAGACTTGTAAGCACTGGTTAGAAAGTCGTTTCCTAAGACTAGCATGTGGCTGTGAGACAGAGGTGGGTTAACTCTCTTTCAATCCTGATTTTTATTATTTCTCAGCACTTTGTTGCAAGCATGTAAACTTGTGGGCTGAAGGGAGTAATGTCAGATAAAAGCAGTGACACATAACAAAAATACATTATTTACATCAACCATTGTTAAGGAAACCTTTCTGGATTCATAACAAAATACATTATTTACATCAACTATTACTACAGGAAGCCTTTCTGGATTTATTCCTACTCAGGAACAAAGATGGGGTGCTATGAGAGATGGTCAGAATAAATATCCAAATTGGCAGAAGAGATTAAGGGATAGTGAATAGTACTGATTTTATTTTACTACATAAATCAATGACCATATAAATCAGGAACAGCCTACGTGTATTATATTATCTTAGTTTTAGTGTGTTTAACCTATGGTTAGTAGGCTAAGAGAACTTAGCAAAAAAAAGCATTTACATGGAGGTAGTTCAACTATAGTGTTTGTTTGTTTTTTTTTGTTTGTTTCTTTGTTTTTTCTTAGAAATATCCTGCAGTATCTTGTTGATAGGAGTCTAAATGACCTTCACTTACTAAATCAATATTGAAATTCCCATATTCCTCTCTAAGCTGTACCAGGAGGATGAAGTAAACACTTGTATACATAGTCATATTGGATGAATTGAAAATGTTCTGTGATCTGTGTCAAACAGCAGCTCTACTAACTGATCTAATGGTCCTTGCTGAAGTTTAAATATACATAAAGCATCTAACTCTGCTAAGAAAATGAAGCTACAGTGTAGATCTTGCTTTATAAAGCATGAAAGCAGAGTGTGGTGGGGCTAAACTACTGTCAGAAAAGTTACTTTTACTTAAGATAACCTGTCCCCTTTTCACTGAGGCCCAGTGCTTGCCATTTAGATAGCACACGTGACCTATAGGTTGGAGTTTTTCAAGGGGAGAATTATCTGTCTATTTATGTGACTGCAAGCTAAGGCATTTCACATGGCCTTGCCCTTTAGCTTGTCCTATCACTATAACAGAAATAAAGAACTGATGTAGCTTGGGTCTTTGACAGTAATCACATGTGAGCAGTTTGGCCAAGATCTGATATTACACCTAGTACTGGATCCCAGGGGGAGAAATCCTGAGGCCTTTTCATTTCTTACATCTTACCTGGTCAATGGGAACACAGCTTAGTCAGTGTTGAGCAAATGCCATGATCTGACTAAGGATTTATCCAACACAAGAATATCTTGTTTTGGATACAGTTTGAGAAGTACTGTTTATGTTATGAAACTTATTTTGGGAACAAGGTATTTGGAAATGTCTTGTTTTTCAGTTTATTGAGCCACAGGAGTCAGCAGAAACCCTGCCACAAGCTGCAGTGGTCAGGTCCTGCTCAGGGTCTGTCCACTTGGCATCAACCTTGCAGAAGTCCTCTGCCGTTCCTCTGGGGCCATTAGCTGAGGCACTCTGGGATGAATCTCTCAGGGTCAGCTCCAGTTATCCACTTTTATGGGTCAAAACTAAATGGCGTCATTGTTGCTTTTCTCCTGTGAGTGAGTTAAATGAGACATCGGTGAAAACAATGGCAAGGTTATGTCAGAGAACTCCATTTTGCAGTCTCAGAGAAATAGTTCCAGGCAATTCCTCTGGATGGTAGCTCTGGCTTACTGCATACCTTTTCAGTCAGAGAAGTATTTGCTCTGTCTGAAATGCAACATGATAAAGAGGTCAGAAATAAGTAGTACATTTGCACTATTATCATAGGAACAGAGCTTACGTGTATGAAAGTAGCTTCAGCTGGAAGTTCAATTTTGAACCCATGCATTGGCATAACTAAGGGAGTCACCCATCATTTTAATGACATCTTTGCCTGGAGAACCAGAGGGTTAACCCATCTTTGGTTTTAAGCAGGGAACAGCACCTCCCCACTGCTTCACCCTGCTCCTGCTGTGTCTGGGTGGGTTTCCCAGGGTGGGGACTGCTGCTGGGGGCTTCAGCCATGCCACATAAAAGGGGGCAGCCCTCCTCTTTTCCCTGCTGCATTAGCAGTGGTTTCACCCTTTCCTTGCAAAGCTTCCCTATGGGATGGCTGAGGGCATCCTGGGGAGGGAGCAAGCCCAGGGAGGAGGAGGAGGCAGGCAGGGAGCTCTCTGAGCTGCTGCTGCTGCTGAAGCCGTGCCGGAGTCGTCGATGTGGCTCCCCAGAGTTAGTTGCTCAGCAACCAGAATCAATTAATATGCTTTGCAGAAAGTGCAGGGGAAGCCCGTGCTGCTGTCAGTGAGAAGGCAGGAGGCTGAGGGTGACTCAGGATCCCACCCCAGCCTGACACCCATTCAGTCCCACCCCATCCTCTCCAAACCCTGTATTAGCTACCATTCTTTATCTCTTTTTCTTTCCTTACGATGATTTAGAGACTGTATCCCCAAATCCTTCAGGAAAGGCAGCTGCTTGCTTAAGAACTCCCCTGCTTCGAGGGTTTTGCTTTTAGATCTCATTTAGGGTTATTTCTCAAGCTTCCTCCAATGCTTTTCTAGAAATTCTAATGTTCATGTTAATTGGGAAGAGAAAGGGACAGCTGCTGCTTTGATCAGATCGTTTAAAAGATTCCTCAGCATGAGAAGGGTTGTTTGGTAGCACACAGTTGAGCAGCAGTAATGAAAATGCATCATGTGTGAACTGGGAAAGTTTTTGTCTCTTCCTTTATTACAGGTAATCAGCACTGCACATATGAGACCAAAGAGGTAGTACTGATTGTTGTGAAACACATAGGCAATAGAATAAATGAGGGGTTATTATTTTTTCCCCCTTTCTCTGCACAGAAATTTCAGGGCTTCAGTAAGGTATTCTTTTCTTTTTTTCTTTTTCTTTCTTTGATTTTCTTTGGAGTCCCTCTGATGACACCACGAATCTGGGAATGAAGAACTTCTTCATGCTGATTGGAAATGGCATTGCGGAGCTGAAACTTAACTGGAGGAAATATATCTCCTGAAGAAGAAAATATAATGCACTTTAAGGATCTGGCTTCTGGTGAAAAATTCAAGCCTAGAGAAAACTTGTCCGCTTTGTTAGGAAGAATGGGTTGGACAATTTTCTTCAATTCCACAGGATATCTGAGTGCCATGCTGAGCTTAATCTCTGCAGCATGCTCTGTGCTTCTCATCTCTTCCTGATGCACTGCATGGTAAGGCCTTTTTCTTTCCTTAATAATGATATTTCTGTTATGGTGAGAGCTAAAGATACTACCAATAATCACCTGAAAATTGAAAAAAATGTAAAATGCTAACAAAAAAACATTTTTCAGTATGGCTGTTTTCCAGGAGCAAGTGTTCTGATTACTGCAGCAGCTTTATAAGACCATTTCTGTCTTTTTCCCTTGCTTTTTGGCTGTATGTGTTTGCATGTGTGCACACCTGTGTTATCAGCTGCAGTTGGACTGGAAGTTTGGTAGCTATATTGTAGATATTTCCAGGTTAAAGGGGATGTTTAAGAATTTTCTCTGAAATTTCTATCTCTTTTTCCCTCCCTCCATTCCTTTCCTCTTGCCTCCTCTTCCTCTCTCTGTCTCTGTCTCTCTGGGGTCATGGTGCTACACCTTCCCTGCACCTCAGTTGTGTACTGACCACTAGAAGGCAAAAATAGTAGGGGAAATAAATCCTGTATGAACATAAGAATAGTTACAAATCCGTATTATCTGGATAAACAAAAGCTACAGAACAGTTTTCTGTGTCTGCTAGCTAATGCAAAATCTGCAGGTACAAAAGATTTATTTTTTTTTTCCTCACGGGAAACAAGTATCAAATGCAGAAACAGATCCTGGTTTTTGTACAGTGTGAGGCAGATCCTTTTACATGTCAGAAAGTCAAGAAAAAAAAAAGACCAATGTGAATTATGACAGTTACTTTTAATGACCTAAGTCATAGCAAAAGTAAGCAAACACAGTATGAGATGTTCTCATATCAAGTAATTTCTGTCATGTACTAGTGGGGTGTTAGGAATAATTGTAAATGAATTCAGTGAATGTTGCAAGATTTTGTTCATTAACAGCTGTAATTTGCCTTCATCTTCCTGGATGAGAGGTACTAGAAGAGTTCTAGGTGATGTTATTAGCTAAATTACCGACTTACCACAATTTAGGGTCATTATCAGGAAATTGCCAAGCAGATCAGGAATTATGAAGTGAATGAACTGAGACAGAACAGCTTAGCTTTCCAGAAAACCTAGTTTACTTGGATTCCTGTTTCGGTAACATAGGGTAGAACTAAAAGTTGTAAATGTGCCAATGGTAAATATATATTTTCTTCTCTGTTCTGGTTGATCAGTGAATTTGGAAGAGGGAAAGGTGACTGCCCCTTGAGGAGCAAACCATGATAAGGGCCTGCCCCACTCTGAGGGTGAGTCCTACAGGGCTTTACAGGGTTTGAGATGGGCCAGAAGTGGGCCTGTGTGGCAGGTGTCACAGGCACTCCAGCTGGGTATGGAGGTGATGGAGTCCTTGCAGCAGGTTCTGAGAGTGGGGAGGATGCAAAGAGCCAAAGCAAAACACCAAGCCAGGCCGGGCCAAAACACCTCTCATGAACTGAGTTTAAAAGCTTAAAACCTATTCAAAAAAAATCAAATTTTGTATCAGTTCCCAACACGCCTTCTCCTTTTGCAGCGAAGGACTTCATAAGGTAGTTTTTAGAGAGAGAATGGAAATGCAGCTTTTTAAAATCAGTGCAGCAGGAGGAAACTGAGATGATACAAGGATATTCCGGTAGCATGGTAGTTTTTCAGAATGGAGGAACAAGTCTGGATTGTGGGAGTAAAGGTTCAAAATATGTATACATGTACATTGAAGTACATTTTACTATCTAAAATGCACAAATGTTTTAAGAATTGATAAGGAAGACTGAGGAAGGATAAGAGAACTCAAAAATGTCATCTTCCAAACTCCATTGTTTAAAGAAGCTCTCACTTGTGGAAGTAGTCCTCAGAGCTTTTTATGTGAACAAGGACTGCATGCTAAATTTAAATTTTCTACTGCAAATCTCCCCTCACATCAACAGGTCTATTTCAATCAATGGGACAACTCATATGAGTAAGAACTACTCATGTGAATAAATTAGAAAGGGTTTTGTAAGACCTGTCTCTTTGATTGTCATGGCAACAGATTTATTAGGCTTCTGGCATAATTTGTAATTCCCTTCTAAACAGAATCATTTTTCCTTTTACTCATATGAATCCTTTTGCCTTGCAATTAGGACAAGAAAAATAGGTCAACTGCATTCTGAAAGATCGTACAACTGTACAGACATGTTGTTAGTGAAGAATTATCTGAGTATGCAAAGTTTACTTTTATTAGTTGTCTCCAAATCCAAGAGGAGTGTATTCTTATTGGAATCATTCATTGTTTTATTTATTTCTGTGACTGTATTAACATTGTTACTAGGTATTATTATCAACTTCCCTGAAAATTCATTAAAAAGAAAAATTTATATATCATTGAACCCATAAAAATATTCACCACTATTAAGTAAAAGGAGACTTACCACACTGTCTTCTACATTAAATATGTTCATTCTTTTAGTTAACGCATGACATTTAGCTCTTTTCTAGATCTAGAAACATGTTTATATGCAATAAAAGCCCAATTTGAAGTCATAATCATAGCAAACTTCCTAGAGAATATATATATAGTCATATTAAAACATCTGGATTTTCTTCCCCCATGCAATTTTCTGTGCTTATGGATGTCCATATTATTAGGATATATATTACATAAGTAATATTTCCTTTGTTGTACATTGTAGAGAACAGTTCATTTTCAGAATACAATATAATAGAAATTCTTTTGCATTCTTTTGGGTTATGCATTATGGAAGAAAGTAAAATACTAGAAAATGCAAACATAGCAGCCTTTAAAATGTGTCCAATACACTAATGCAGCAATAGGTTGTTTGTTTTTTTTCATTTATCCCTGTAATAACAACATACATATAGCAAGAACATTGATTATTTTCAAAGCACATGATTCTGAGAAATAAGGTTTTGCTCTTTGTCTTTAGCAGACATTTCTATCAATGATTTACAGAGACAGACCTCTTTCTTTTGTGTCATTTTTCATCATTTACTTTAAACAGATGAATAACAGCTGTATTTGGCTTTCTGTGAATTCTAAAGCAAGTGAAAATAATTTTGTTTTCTTTTGGATACTATTCAATAATGGTCTGATGCTTAAAACACGTTTAATTTCAATCCATTGAACTGTTTCATTGGATAAACTATGTGAATTAGAGCTTGAATCATCTGCATGATCAGGACAGTTATACTAAGCAATGGAAATACTTTCCGTACTTACAACAACTACTTCTAATCAAGAAAAATATTTTTAATAATACAACACACAAGAAATTCCTATACCTGGAATGCCTTGAGAGGTCTTGATACAAGATCCAGAAAAATCTGATTTTTTGCAAGGCCCACTAAAATAAAACAAACAAACAAAACAATAACAACAATAAAACTGAGTCTTAAGGTTTTATTGCTTAAACATAAATAGCCATGGAAAGAGCATTATTCTTTTAAGAAATTTCTGTTGATCAGCACCTGTGTTTTCCATAAACCAGGATAAAAAATTGAAAAGGCAAAGTTTTTTAAAAACTGAAAGATCTAAAAACTCATATGTAAGGAAATACTGATTTTGAAATGACCTGTTTCATTTTAACATTATTATTCAGACTCTCATTTTTGTAACAAGAAATTGCATATATGTGTGTTTTTTTCAGTGAAAGTTTACAACACTTAAAATCTCTCTCTCTCTTTTTGGTCAGGGATTTTTTATTATTTATTTATTTATCTTAACTGGATTTGTCATAGTTTCCCAATATTTATTGTCTCTTACAGGTCAGCTCTCTAATTGCAAGCTCCCTGAAGGGCCATCTTCAGCACTACACATTGTATATCCCTATATTGCTGATACTGAACATCAGTTCCTACCAGCTCTATGGTAGATGTAAGTTTTGATTGCAATTCCCTCTTTTAATTACTTTTGTATCTCCAGTAAAAAACAAGCCTTTATTTGCTGTGAGTTTTACAGATACCAGAGGAGGTAGCTTCTAATACAAAAACCTTTGAGAGGCCTTCAAAAGGCATACAAGCAAGGGGTAGAATTAATGAAGTATTAATATCCTTATTAAATAGGCAAGGAACTGAGGAACAAAAAAGAAAGAAATAAAAAAATGCCCAAAGCTATACTGGCAAGGAAGAGTTCTGAATTGAACCCAAATGTCCTCATTCTCAGTTCATCGTTGTCCCTGCAAGGTTGTTCTTCATTTTCTTCATTTTTGCTTAATGACTTGCATTTGGACTTTTAAGTTAATACTAGTTCAAGTGTCAAATGTGAAATTACTGATGCGTACTTCCTTTCCAGTGTGACACAGTTGTCCTAAAAATTCTTTTTTCTCTCCTGAGCTGTTCCGTTTGAATGTAACCATTAATTATGCAATTGATTTGCTACACAGGGGAAATATATCCTAAGTTGAAGAGAAAATTCAAAATATAAATATACTAAACATCCCATGCAGATTCAGACATGTACATGTGTATGTATCTGTTTATCCTGTCAGAATTTAAGGATAGCTGTGAGGGCTCTGTAATAGCTTTGAGGGCAGAAACAGATTTAAACAGAAAAAAATATATATACAGTTAAAACATAAAAAGGCTGATGATTTGTTTTCTAGAATTCACAGAGATCATTATGAAAACAACACTTGTTTACAGAAAGATGACACAGCGAATATGATACCTAACAGAAATTCTTATTAATGATGGTCTGACTTCTCTTTCCAAGCTAATCTTTCACCTTCTTTTTTTTTTTTTTTAGCATATATGAGTATTTTAAGTTCAAACATATAGATACTTAAGAACTTATCATAACTTATCAATTCTTTCTTTCTTTCTTTCTTTCTTTCTTTCTTTCTTTCTTTCTTAAATGACAGCAACTAAGGGATCCAAATACCTATAAGGATATGAGCATGGGATTTATAACATTTGTATATTTCCTACAATATTAATAGATCAAGAAAGTAAATCTAATTATTATAATAAGGTAATCATTGAACCTCAAAAGGTAAGGTGTATTTTAGTTGGCTAAGGAAAATTGAAAAATAACCACAGAAGTCCATGAACATGAATAAAGAATTTGGTAATGGCCTCAGAAACAAGAGACATAGGGAAAAATACTTGATGAGCTTTGATGAGTAGGCTTTGATGAAACAAAAGCAAAATAGATAAACAATGTCTGGTGCAACTCTTTATGAGAAAAAGAATGGGAGAATGCCTATTGTTGCATTAGTTTTAAACCAAGGTAGATAGAAAACAGTGGTGTGACTAGAAAGCAGCATGGTCTTTGTGATTATAGATCATATCTTAACTGTTTGTTACCTGTTTAATGTGGAAATTAATGTGTTACATATCTTTAATATCTGACCCGAAAAATTGGGATTAATCTCTTTATAATATATGACCATCTGATAATATGACTCTAGATATTGAAAAGCATCATTTTCTCCTTAAGGTGAAAGTGTGACAAATTTGATAAGAAAATTTAGGACTTCACTTTGACACATGCTGAAACTTAGCAATAGTGTCTGTAAAGTGAGGTGCTACTGAACCAAGTTAAGAGTATCAGAAACTTCCCTTAAGGAATGCAAATTTGATGCTTGAAAACAAAGCTGTTTAACCTGTTGGACTCAGAAAGCAGATGGCAAGAATATTTATTGAGATCTGTAGCCTGTGTATTGGGATTTCTTTTTTACTTTATGCTTAAAACAAAAACTGCTTGAAAGGATTTTGTTCAGGTATTCATAGCAAATGTAACTTTTCACTGACTATAGAAGCAATAAAATACTTAACAGAAGAAGACAAGATTTTGGAAGAGCTTTTAAAGTATTCTTGAAAGTGCTTTTTAATGGATAACCACAATGACCCTTAGGATAGTACTGTTTCTCTGCTGCCAAATATAATACTTGTTCTCTACCGGCATTAAACAATGCTGGAAATCCAAGCTTTCCTTAGGAAGAGACTTCCTTTTCACTGATGTAATTTCTATTTGTGTTAGATTCCTGTGTTTTCATTCCACAACAAATGCTTTACATTGCATCAAAGTGCTTTGAAGCTTGGCACAGCTGGATGTGTTCAAAAAACGCTGCTACAAAAATGTATGGCAATCTACGTTGTACCTGCTCCTCTGGAGCCATTCTGAGATATTGCATATTATAAAGGGAACTGTGTTGTTGACGTGACTTTCTGTAACTCACAAGGTGTTTCAATGTATCATGTCACTGGAAGCATCCTAAGAGTGAAATGCAATGTACTTGGTAATATTTTTTTTTAATAGCACTAGCATATATGAGCCTGTTGAGGAGGGCTGGTCCATTACTTCTGCTCCTGATTGTGATCTCTCAATTCCTGCATCTGCTCCTGCATTTTCTTAATGAATTGTAAGGCATCATTGGTATCTTTGGCTCTAGTTGTCCCCACCCCAACACCAAAACCATGCAATGGATGTTTAATGCAGAAGGGCTCACAAAGCATCTGCTCCATCCGTTCATGCTTACCACAGAATAATTCCTGTCCTCCTCATTGAATTTTAGAAAGCTAGTAAGGAAAACTAGTGAAAACATATCTTCAGTGTTTCACAAGTGATAGACGAAAAGCATCACTAAAGCCTTATATTCCTAAAAATAGAAGAAAGTGGATAGATATTACAAACAAAATCCTACAACCATATACCTTTCTGATCTCTCACATGGCTTTCAGTGTATTTATGAGCACATGCAGAAGGCACACTAAGTGGACATCAGGGAGATTTTACCATCCGAAACACTAATGCTCCATACCTCACATCCTGTTCCTACCCACAGCCCTTCTCTGGAGCCTCTCCTGGAGGTGCACCATATCCCTGCAGAAGTCAAGTTAAGCATGAAGAGAGAAAGTCTTCATCCCTGCAGGTTAAGCAAGGGATTAGTACATGATGCAAATAGACAGAATCAATAAGCAATTTCTGTTATAAAACAAGGGAGACCTTCCTAACATCCATTCTTTAGCGGTAATCCCAAATATTTTTAACAAATTTCATGGATTATGTCTGATTCTTCCTCAGCCTTTCAGTGGCACCACCAAGAACAGGTCCCTCAGCTGTATAAATGTGTGCATAAATGGTGTCTCTCAGGTGGTTAAACAAAACAGACAGTACTCCTCATCAACCACTGCCATGTTTTACTTTCTGTCTTGGTCTGTGAGCTCTGACAGCATGGTCTCATAGCTTCTATCTGTCATAGATCCTCTCTACTCCTCACTACTAAGCCAAGTCCTTGCGCATGAAATTCAACTTTCATCTGTGTGCTAGCACAGGATAACTGCTACTGTTTTTAGAAATATAATCCATTGAAATGCAATGAGATGAGATGCTTTGGATATCTGCTTTTTTTAAGGAAATTGCGACCAGGTAGGAGTTTTCCACTTCAGCTGCTTTGATTTGCTTTACACTTTGGGTATGAAATACAGAGCATGAACACATATCCTCTGTGCTGGGGTAAGCGCTACCATCCTACTTGGTACTGTCACAGTTGGGCTGAATTGAAGAGGAGCCAGAAAATCTGTACTTTGGGTAGTCCCAGTTCCCCACAGACATGTGGCTGGGCTGAAGCTGCTATCTGCTTCACACCTCCATTTCCCAGCTGTGGAGGTACGAAGTCTTATCCCTTCTTCCATTTATATAAGATGTACAGATGCTGAGTTCTTCTAGAAACCAGGTTACAGAGTGATTCTACTTCCAGATCTGTTCAGCAGGGTGACTGAACCTTGCTTGTGTGTCCCAATGTGAGGATTAATCTGTTAATGTTTGTAAAAAGCTATGTAAATGCTCTGTATCATGCTGACAGGTCAAGTACTGTATTGCTCACTGACTGCTTCTCCTGACAGTTTAAGATATATGGCAAACAATGTCTATGCTTTCAGCTGATGTTCACTGATGTATCTTGACTGGCTTAACTCTCTCAGGATTTGGCCCTCCTTCTTTAGCTCACTGATGGGTGATACAACACAGATATGCAAGGCTGCTTTCCACATAACCTTGGATACAATAAATATGTCGATTTATGTTTGTGCAGGACTGTTAACTCAAAAGAAACCTCATGATTTTCCTGTAGCATGAGTGCAGTGCAGGTTCTGAAGGACACATGGAAAGCAAAGAGGGGAGCTAGAGCTCAGTTCCCTGCTTGGCTGCAGGCAAGGAGGCAACAGCAGAAGTTGCTTCTGCAAAACATTGACAAGGATGAGTAGCTAGTTTCACTGACTGCATTACCATGTACTTGGTCCTGTTATCAACATTACATATGGATTTTTTATGTTGATTTTTAGTATGAATGAATAATATTTTCATTATCTTTAATGATTTTTGCGGTTAGGGTAATTTTTCACTGATCTTTTCTTATGTCTCTATGGGTTTATCTGTATTTTCCTAAGCTGGAAAAAAATGCTGTGGCACACACAGGGTAGGGACTGTTCTCAGCACAAGCTATTACTAAATGAAAGCAAGACATCTAAAGGGAAGGGACTTTCTGTGAATCTTTGTTGTCATGCGATCCTCTTCTTTGAGGCTACTAATTCAGAGCTAATAATTCACTATGTGGGTCTTTTTCTGGGACTAGCAGGGATATGGGCTTGAAGCATATGCTAGCAGATTGGGTGATTAAGTTATGAAAAAGTATTTTTTGTTTCTGCCATGATTGCATGTCTGGGCAGCTTTTGTTTTTAAAGCCTGATCCAATTCCTGGTGGAGTCTGTGAGAATCATGCCACTGGTTTCTTTCACAGCTAGATCACACTACTGGCTGGTTCCACCATTGCCATCAGTATACGGTTGTCATGGTAGAACAAACTTTAGTTTTGTACCTTCTTTCTTTACCTGATTTTTAATTTAATTTTATATATATATATATATATATATATA